CACAAGATGCTTCCTACGAAACCAGAATGTGAATCTTTTCCTAAAATTTCATGGCGATCACTTGAACACTGAGGAAGTTGTGAGCAAAAACAGAAAACAATGAGGTGAAATGGTCACAAAGGCCCCATTGGTTCTGCTGTGAACTGCAGCAAGAAAACATGAGCTGATTTCACCTAAACAAACATCAATAACTTCCCTCATACTTCAGATAATCACATGATTTTGGTTTTATTTTGTATGGTTTGAAACGTTCTTTTGGAATCTGCTGTCAGATTTAATATTGGTGTAGGATTAAAAATTTATCCACATCCCTAGAATTAGCCATTAGCTATTTTTCCTCTGTAGTCCCCTGGTCATGGGGATTATTTTATGCATTTTTTAAAGCCCTACAAGTTTTTAAAGAGTTGATAAACATACATTTGATACCACATGAAAAATGCACAATTAAAGATTAAATAAAAAAATCTGTTTTGTATTTCAGCTATCAGCTGCTGTGATTGGTTGACCTGKATTGTGAACTCATTAATGACCTGCTGGCTGCAGCACATTTAGAGGAGGTTCATGGGTTTCAATCAGTTTATAGTTTTCATTATTTTGACAGCAGCTCACATGTTTCTATAAAGTCTTTATGTTGAAGCCTTGCTGGCATCCTTACAATTACGACCACATATCAGTCAGTTTTATCATTTATTTTACCATAAATTACAGGAAGGATAAAGCCTGGCTGCAGGAATATTTACATTTATTTTCACCAATAGATTTTTTTAGGTTTATAGTACTGGAATATAAAKCTGAATGAAGTCTGCCAGCTGTAATCTGCCTTTAAAGAGATCCAAACTAAAAACTAGGTCAGTGTTCAGACTGACACACATTGGAAATGATCCACAGCTCCTTTCATACGATGACAGATAATCAGGTTTCATCACTTAAACGGGGGCAAGGCTTTTAAAGTTATTCCAGTTGCTATTATCATCAAATAAAAAGGTCCAAACCTTTCAAGCTGAGGTAAACACACTCATTATTTCAATATATTTAACTTTAAAGAGGAAAAAAAAAGAGGTTTTCTCATTTTGTGATCTGTATCTCTGGATTTTTACCCCCTTTTTATGAAATAATTAGCTTTTAAAAATAGCTGCTAATTAATTTTTTAGGGAATTCTACTTCTGAATAATAAATCTAACACCTCATGGCCATTTAGGAAAATTAATTTATATTCAAAATTTATATTCAAATAATTATTTTTAAAATTCTGTTGCATTCAAATGTATTTTTGGTTGCAGATTATCAGACTTGAATAAAAAAAAAGAAATTAAATGCTTTTGGATAATTGAAACTTATTAAATGAAGCATCTTTAACATCCCTCTGATGGATAAAAACATATTTGCAGAGG